AAAAAAAAAAAAAATGCCAGATTAGGCATAAAGAAAAAATCAGAGTTGGGGGAAGACAGATGCCAAGACACACCAAGATCTCTGATGAACAGAAGAGACAGGGACCTTCCAGAGGTCTGTGCCTCCAGAGCTGACAAAAAAACAAAGCTTTCCCCTGGAGACTTAATTTGGACTTCTAGCCTCCTGTTAGAAAATAATTTTCTGCTTGTTACAGCCAACCACTTGTACTTCTGTTATAGCAGTGCTAGATAATGAAACAATAGCCAAGAGTGCCCCTAAGGATCTTCTAAATATACTACCATAGAATATACTAGAAAACACAAGGATTCAAGTGCAGATGTTCTACTAGCAGAAAGAATGATGATATCATTAAATGTCAAATGTTTGGAAATCTCCACTGTACACTCATGAAAGAATGAGAATGAAAAAAAGCAAATAATGTCTAATTATCATATTTAATAGTTTTGACCTCGGAGACTCCCTATAAAGATCTTGGAGACATCTCCCAGACTGAGATCCAATCAAATAGATTAATTTTAATGCCATGTCCCATTTCATATTACTAATAAAGTGGATTTGACTTTGAGAGTATAAAACTTTGCATATTTTTTTCCCATTCCGGACCACAGTTTGAGAACTGTTAACCTAAGGTGACCACGAAACCCCTAGCAAATGGAACACAAAGTGAAAAGCACCAAAGGCGCTTTGCTTAGCCCAGAGAAGTGAAAATGCTAGCTTGAATTCAGCGAGTTTAGAAATGAATCCAAGGTGTTCCGGTTAAGATGGTGGAATAAGCAGAAAGACTGCACAGACCCTCTTCAACAAAGAAAAGGGGAACCAATTAACACAGATACAGAAGATAATCCTGGACCCCTGAGCCTTGAAGGGAAGGATATAGAAATGGACTAAACTCAAAGTAGCAGAAGAATTTGCATGAAAACACCAAAAAAGGAGACATACGAAGCTGTGGTCTGGCAGCAATCCTGATGGCACAGACAGCTTGGATATTGCCAGGTGGTGGTAGGACCTAAGCATTAACCTAAAAATCAGCCCTGCTAGCCAAGAACTGCACAGAGGACTGCTCTGGTGCCTGGTGAATAAAAGGGGAAGCAGTGGAGAGGAAGGTGGGTTGAGCTTTGGATTTTTACCTGTCCAGAGGGCACAGCCATTTTGAATGTTTACAAGCAGTTTGACATTTTGGATAATTAAAGCAACAGCATTCTCCCAGATTCCAGGGACTTAAGAACAGGATCCACTTGCCAGGAACTGCAAGGACATTACAGATGTGGATGACTGGAAAGGTGCGATATTCCCCTTGTTACTCTTATACGTCACACTCTCTTGGTGAACGGAGGTGCAGCACAAATATTCAGCAAACACTAAAACAAATACTAAAAATATTTAGCAAATACTAAAACAACAGCAACAAAGGAAATGATAACACAATTCATAAACATAATGAGTTCAGCACAGAAAATAATAGAAAACTAAAGATTCATGGAAAAAATTAGTCCTAGCTACTGGTACACCAGGCTATCTGAAGCCTATACACTATGAGACCAGAAGAACTAGATGGTGCCCCGCTACCACTGTCAACCACTTGGAGGGGGATCCTGGACAAAAAGGGAACACAAATCATTTGGGAAAAAAACGGGAGGGGGGGACCAAGTTTGCTGGTTGGATAGAGCCTGGTGGACCCACTGAGACTCTGGCCCCTAGCTGCACTTCAGGTCTGGAATTGAAATGTGGCTTCCAGCCAAACAAAAGACAGGCATATGAGTTGAACATTTACCTGAGGTAGATACACTCCGTGGAGATATCAATCATGGGAAAAAGAAGGGCTGTTTATGCACAGGGCGACAGCTCAGGGGGCAGGAGTGCATAAAGGGATGGACACAGGAAGAGGTAACTAACTATCGGTGGGAAGAGGTAACTATCGGTGGGAAGAGGTAACTATCGGTAGGAAGTGGGAGAGGAGGGGTTGCATTGGGGTAAATTGTAGTGAATGTCATGAGACAAAGTGTATGTGAACTATTGTATGGAAAGTGAATTTGCTCTGTAAATTTTCACCCAAATCACAATAAAAATAATATAAATAAATAAATAATAGAAAGAAAGGAATTAATCCAAAACCCGCCACCTCCGCCCCCAAGGCGGGGCCGGAGTTGGCGGCTGGCCAGCGGACTCGCCCAGAGCTGGGGGCAGAATCCACCGGGGCTGGGAGAGCGAAGCGCAGGCGACCGCAGTCGCCTCCCCTCGGCCGCGTCGTTACAGGTAGGCTGGCCAGGGAGGAGGAGCGGCCGGCGCTGGGCGGGCGCGGCCAGGTGCTTCCCAGGTAGTGTACTGGTCCCCTCCCTCAGCTTTGCTCGGCCTCCCTGGAGCGAGGCAGGAGATCGCACCGCGCGCGTCCCCGGTCCGCCTGGGTGCCCACCGCGGGCTGCAGGCTCGTCCCTGGTCCGAGTGCGCGGTCACCCAGGCCTGCGGAGAACTAGGCCCGGAGCGGAGCAGAGCCGAGATTTGGGGAGCTCCGGAGACCGAGGGCCTGGCAGCCGCAGGGACCACCCAACAACGGGGCTCTGGCCCGGGAACCACAGGAACATGTGCCCGTGGCTGCAGGTGCGGGTCCCGAGTTAGGGGAGGGGGAGGTTCCTTGGAGGGGCCCTCGGAGGGACAGCGCCCGACAGACGTGGCCAGATTCGAGCGCAAAGCCGGGGGGTCGGTCGCCCACTCGGTCGTTGGTTGTTGGCTGAGTCCCGGGGCGCGGCATTTGTCCCTAGGCATTCTAGGTAGCCCGCTTTCCTAGCGCGGGCAGGGCCTGGGCGGCCGAAACTGGCGCGGGGCGCAGTCGTGCAGTGGCTTTGAATACAACAGGTCAGTGACTCAAGTCCTACAGAAACTCGAAGTGCTGAGACAGGGGCTTTTTTGACGTGCTTTTTGTTTGTTTTGTGGTTTATTTTTAGTTTGTTTGACAGTTGCCAGACTATGTTTAAACTTATGATTCTACTCAGCCAACTGCCGATAGTTACCTTCGCGTTTCCTCATTGCACAAGAGCTCCGAAGGATTCCAGGCATGCGAAAGAAGGTAAGCGTTGCTTCAGATAACAATCTCCTGGAAACCAGAGCTGCATCAGCTCAAGCCAGAAAGTGTAGTATCTGAATGCTCCCACCACTAAAATACGCTTTAATTTAATTTTCAGTTTGTTTGGTAAAGTTTTTTATGTTTTTTTAAACTACAGTTGATACACATTTGTTTCTGTGAGTTTCCTTTGATAAGTATGTGTTTACGAGTTTCCTTGATAAGTATGTGTTTAAGCCCTGCTTTATGGTTAACTGAGTGGAAAGCTATTTCAGCTTCCTAAAATCAGTGAGTGCCGTTTTTCTAGGTGAGGGTGTGTGGTCGTTAAAATTACTTACTCTTAATTAATTATTACATAATTACTTATTCTTCCTGGAAAGAGGGACAGAGAATGGGGATCTAGCCTGGACTTGTTGTGAGACCCTGGGCAAATTACTTAACCCCTTTAGGTTTAAATTTCCTCCGTTGTAAAATGAGCAGGCTGAGTTGCAGAAGGATCTCTGAGGTCCTTTTGGCTTTAAAATATCTAAACTTTAATTACCTGGGTAAAGCCAGAGGTTGAGAGCGATAGGTTTGGGACTTGCTAACCTAACACCTTGTGGGTTCTGGTTAACAGACTAGTTCCAGCATCTTAAACCTGAGCCCCAGATTTTAAAAACTTAACCTAGAAAAGCCATAAAGAAGAAAAAAAAAAAGACTTTTGGATCTCAGTTGCTTCTCCCGTGTAGTCATTGCGCTTCTTTGCCTGGTGCCAGCACGTTGGATCTGCCTCTTCACACATTCCTGTCCTTTATCTTTCTTCATCAGATTCTACTCTCAGCTCATTTTCATTCAGGAAAGATCTGTTACAGTAATACTCCTGGCTGACTTATTAATGATTAATACAGCTTAGTGTGTTAAACCTCCTAGGAATATGTGTGTTTTTAGATAAGACAATACCTTTAACACAATGTAATGAAACACTGATGATAAGAGTTCTAGGCAGTTGGAGAGTCTACCTAGTGAGACAGGGAAAGATTTTGGAGAGGGATCCTTCTTGGTACCTCCCAAGTGGCACGGTAAATACATCCAACCATGTATAACTTGATGACTCGTATTCATAGGACCAGATCCTGCCCCAAAAATGACTGTCAATATATTCATTCATTCACATGATGCAAACACAAAAGACACTGAGAGGACATCACAAACTGTGGAAGGAATTTAGAGGTCATATTTGAGTGAAGGGAGCTCTGGTAGTGTAGTGCCTAAGGCATTTGACTGCTAACCAGAAGGCTGACCCACAAGCCTCTCCTTGGAAGGAAGATTGGGCAATCTACTTCCTAGTGATTACCACCTTGGAAACTCAAGGAGGGAGTTGGTTTTTTTGAGTTATTTGAGTGGTGTGGGTTAGAGGTGTCTGTGGGAAGGGATTCCACATATTTGAAAAGGTGATTAGTTCATTTAGTAACCATTTGATGAATATGTACTATGTGCTGGGCCCTATGCTTTGTTCAGGAGATGGAGAAATGAAAGTAGTAATCCCTGTCCTGGAGGATCTCTTCATCTGGTAGGGAAGGAAGGCTATAAAAAGCTTGTCTCCATAAATTCTCCAACAGAGATGGAATCAGAGAGGTCCCAAGGGCAGAGGAAAGAGGAAGTAGAAGTAACTTGGTAAAGTTATATGACAAGAAGCCAATGCTTTCTGTCTGGAAGTGGAATACAGGCAATCCCTGAATTATGAACAAGATCCATTCCTAAATGTGTCTTTAAATCGAGTTGTTAATTAAGTCAGAACAGGTGCATATGGTTCTTAGTTAGCCTTACTTTAGTGCAAGAAGGGGTTTGAAGGCTTTTCAGTGACTTAAAAGCTGCATGTGCTGTGAGTGAAGGTATTGTGATGAAGAATTTGTTGCAAGAAAGGGTTCATTTGTTTCAAAGTGTGGGCAAATTTACATAACGTTAAAGACCAAGCACGGGTTGTTTGTAAATTGGACACTTGTGATCCAGGGACTTACTGTTTAATAAGTGGAGATTAAGGAAAAGTAACTGGGAAAAGAAGGGACCCTGGGCTAACTTTTGATAAAGCCAGAGGGTGGAGTTAAGATGACTTAAAAGAAGCTTCTTTAGAAAACATGAGGAGATGGGAGAGGAGGAGAATGGAATATCTAGGTTGGTGAATTTGAAAGAACAGAATATATAGACAGCTTGTTGGGGTAATCTAAGACTGGAGAAAATGGACAGGAAGAGAATATGAGGCACTTGATTAGAACGCGCAACGTCAGTGTATCTTCCCACAAAGACCACAGGGAAAATCGGAGCTCTCCATCGAAGCCGAGGATGCTGTGGCATCAGGAGAGTTGGCTTTTTTCCCATCAGAAGCACGTTCAGAGTTACTCAGAACCCAAATGTGAATGGACAGTACTTCTCCTGACATTGCAAGGAAGGCAAGAAAAAGTTTGATCTGGCACTGAAGTTTAAGGTCAACAGTGGACAGAATCAGAACTTTCACACTCAGAGAAGCAGCAGAGAATAGCCCGTGGAAGGCTAATACTGGGATGAGCACATTTTGGGGTATGAATATCATTTTGGGAAAAATAAAAATATGATGGACTATCTTTTATTTTCCCTTCAAGTTGACATTAGCTTTATTGAGTCCCATAAGGGTGGTTATTTTTATGATTCAGATAACAGCCTTGAATAGAAAACTGTCAATGAGAAATTTGGCACTGCTTTTTTACCCAATGTGATGTCAGAATCTGAGTATATCTGAGATGTAACAAGACTGAAGTAGGTTTCTGATTCTCCATTCTGAAATTAGACTCTGTGCACTAAGTATAGATAAATTAGGTTAGGCAGGCTGTGGGTTGCTTCATCATTGCTGTAGTATTTTAAACCTATGCCAAGATGAGAGGTGAGACTATACCTATGAATTGCCTCAATGGAAAGACTTTAGGTCCTTCCCACTATAGGAAAGTTGAGTTCATTCAGTAAGTAGGCAAGTAATTTTTTGAACATCTATTATGCGCCAAGTCCCAACATCCCTGCCTTTGTGGAACTGTCCTTCTACTCAGGGCAACAGAGGAGTAACAAATAAGTAAAGCAAATAGACCAGGAGGTGGTGATAAGTGCTATGGAGAAAGCAAAATATGAATGGGGACAGAGAGCACCAGAGGTGACTATAGTCAAGGAAGTCCTCACTGAGAAGGTAGCATTGAACAAAATCCTGAAAAAGGGGAGAGAGAAAACAGGAAGAAGAGATTTTCAGTCAGAGGAAATGGCAAACACAGACTGAAGAGAACTGGGTGAATTGGTTGCAACAGAGTGTGTAAGTATAACAGAGTATACTTACACCATAGTGGGTGAGGGAAAAGGATAGGAGATGAGGTAGAAAGACAAGGGTTGGAGAGCCAGATTAGGTAGGGCCTTGTGGGCCACTGTAAGGACTTTTACTCCAAGGGAGATAGGATTACTATTAGAAAGTATTTAAAAAGTAGGAATATGTCTGACTTACCTTTTAAGAGGATCACTCTGGTTGTCATGTTTAAAATAGACTGTTAGGGGAGCAAGAAGACCACTGAGAAGGCCATTGCAGGTGAGAGATGATGGAGGCTTGGACCTGGATGGCCAGGGTGGAGGTAGTGAGAAGTGGTCGGAGTCCTGCTGTATTTTGAAGGTCGGACAGTAGTCTTGTTGAGTTGCCTCATTGTGCTTTACTAACTTGGAGTAGGAGGAAAGGAAAAGAGTATTTCATCACACTAATTCCTCTAGCCTCCTTTTAGAATATTTCTCAAAACAGCTATCCTCAATTATGCCATTCCAGCTTCCTCCCTTGGTTCAAATGGCCTTTATATGTTATTTATAATGTAGAAACTGACAGTCTAGGACAGCACTGGACAATACAAATACAATGTGAGCCACATAAATAAGTTAAAATTTTCTAGTTACCACATTAAAAAGGTAAGATGATATAAGTGAAATTAATTTTAATGTGTTTATCTCCAAATACCATCATTTGAATATGTAATCAATATAAAACATTACTTATGAGGTATTTAATGTTCTTTTTTTCTATACTGTTATTGAATGCCTTTGATTCTGACTCATAACTACCCTGTATGACAGTAGAACTGCCCCATAGGATTTCCAAGGCTGAAATCTTTACAGGTCATGTCTTTTCTCTCACAGAGCTGTTGGGTGGGTTTGAACTGCCAATCTTTTGGTTAGCAGCTGAGTGCTTAACCATTGCACCAGCGGGGCTCTTTTTCCATACCAAATCATTGAAATTCAGTGTGTGTTTCACAGCACATCTCACGTGCAAATTATCTTCTTCTTGTTAGTTGCCATGGAGTCGGTAACTCAAAAACCAAACTCACTGCCATCGAGTCCTTTCTGACTCATAGCAAACCCCATTTGGGTTTCCGAGACTGTAAATCTTTACAGAAGTCGATCGTTCATCTTCCTTCTGCAGAACAGCTGGTGGGTTTGAACCATTGACCTTCCGGGACTAGCCACATTTCAAGTGCTCAGTAGCCATATGTAGCTAGAGGTGACTGTATTGAACAAAACAGCTCAACCTATTTGGAAAGATGATTAATCAGTAGTAAAAAATCAAACATCTTGGACATGATGTGGGTGTTCTCAAAGGGCTAAGAATCGATGGCGACCTGAGGTCACGTGACAGCATTGTCTTCCCAGCCATGCTCTCTCATCAGTCTGTGTTGTCCTTTCATTGCCCGCTTCAGTGTATTCTTCCTCAAGTAAAAGCAGTAAGAAATACCAAGACTTTCAGGTTCTGTTATAGTTGGGATGGCGTTCTCACAGAGTTTCGGAATTCCAGTCTCAGTAATGTAATCTGAAGCAAAATCATTGAGCTTTGTTTGCGTGGTGCCAAAACGACATTAACATTGGCGGGTTATATTTAAAATACTAACATGGTGAGATGTTTTGGTTTTGGGTCAACCTGTGTTTAACCCTGTCATGTTTACTGTTTACCTTCCCAGCCAATGTAGAGGGAGTCTGGTAAAGCTTAGTAGACACATATTTGGGGGGAGGGCAGCGGGGATCTACTTCTTTGGGAAGGACTATTTTTTAATTAATCTTATAATTAACTTCTATTTTATTTATAAGTTTTAATGTAAACTTGAATATAAAAAAGTTTCATGTAAGTGTATTTATAATTCTAAAACTTAAGGAGATCTCAATGATGATTTAGTTTAGTTCCTATATTTTACAAAGGAGGAAATGGCAACCCAAGAGATAAGCAACTTATCCCAGAATACATAGCAAATAGCTAAGTCAGATCAAAACTAAGAAGCCCTCTCTTCTAATTCTCAGTCCAACACTCTTTCCGTTACTTCATACTAATTATTCTCAGTCAGGATAATAGGGAACCAATCCTTTAGAAATTGAATAGTCTAACTTGTCATTTATAGGAAAAAAGAATTATCTGCAGGAAAAAGTGATGTTTCAATAATTTTCATTTATGCTAATCCTTTTGGACATGATAGACTCACATATGCCTAGGAATTATGCTTATGTTTTTGTTTCATATTCAGTAAGAATTATATTTAGTGAAATTACTTCTTTTTGTCCAATTTTAAAACCATGCAAGAGATTTAGATACAATTTAGCCACATTAAGAGAACTAATCACTTTTTCCACAGCTAAAATGAATTTTCTCTCTTTTATCTATATTTAAAATCTTTTTGTTTATTAGTCTTTACTTCAAAAGAAGAAGCAAACGTTTTCATACATCGACGCCTCTTATATAATAGATTTGATTTGGAACTCTTCACTCCTGGTAACCTAGAAAGAGAGTGCGAGGAAGAAATTTGTAATTATGAGGAAGCAAGAGAGATATTTGTGGATGAAGATAAAACGGTAATTTAGTTGATTATGTTAATTGGCTGGAAATTTTGTAAATTTTACTTAAGAAAAGTGACACTCTCAGTTATACATTTATGTTTTAAACAAAGTCAGGGCTGCCTACCTGTTATCTCTTTCTACTTCCTTAAAATACTTATTAACCTATTTGGATCTGGTTTTATACTTAATTAACTGAGTGTATAGTAATTAGCAAATTATTGACCATGTTGTGATTTTATGTATTTAATATTTATTATATTCCAGAGCAATCATGATGCAGAGTGAATTAAACTCCATGTAATATTTGAGTTAATGCTCTCTCTGACTTGAGCATATTATTGCTAGTTGTTGTCGAGTTGATTCTGACTCATAGTGACCCTATGTGTGTAGTAGAACTGCTCTTTAGGGTTTTTAAGGCTAAAAACTTTTGAAAGCAAATTGCCAGACCTTTCTTCAAGGCACCTCTTGGTGGGTTGGAACCACCAACCTTTCAGTTAGTAGTCAAGCACTTAAGTGTTTGTGCCACCCAGCGACTCCTTAAGTGGGTTTAGGCTTCAATTATTTAAGTCTTAGAGCATTTCTCCTATCTTAAGAACTATAAAGCTTTTCCAAATGTAGAAATGAACTTACCTTTTTTTAAATTGCCTATATTTGAGCTGTGGTAGCATAGTGCCTAAGGCACTTGACTGCTAACCAGAAGGCTGGAGGTTCAAACCCACCAGCCACTCCTTGGAAGGAAGATGGGGCAATCCACTTCCGTAGTGATACTGCCTGGGAAATCCAAGGAGGGGTCACTATGAGTCAGATCCAACTCCACGGCAAACAACAACAACAATAACATATTTATACCTTAAGCATTTATTAACAACCTACAGCCTAGTGCGAGGCACTCTACTAGGTACTGAGAATACAAAATATATATAGCCCTTGCTTTTATAGAAGCATATCATTTGGTATATCCATGTAATTTATTTAAAATGTAATTAAATTTTATCTGTTAATCTTGTTAAGGTGAAAAACAGCCAGCACTGTCCCTGTTATAATCTGGCATGTTCTTGAAGAATATTAAATGGGCCCCAAATTTTACTTTTGTACACTAAGTATCCCCAGCTCTTTTTTCCCTTCCATAGGAGTCCTCTTTGATCCATAAGACCTCTCTAGGTATCCTTCCCTAAATGCAAATATGCTGATATGAAGGAACCTAATTCTTCATTCTTCTATAGAAAATCCCCTATAAGTATATGCCACATCCACAAGAGAGGGAAAACCAAGCAACCTTTTTAGTTGTGCCTCTTGGGATTGTTTTTTTCTTTTTATTGTGATTTGGGTGAAAATTTACAGAGCAAATTCACTTTCCATACAGCAGTTCACATACACTTTGTCTTATGACATTGACCACAATTTACCA